ACACCATCTATTTATCTCCCTCACTAGATAAAAAAAATGCCAGCAGTGGTATAGATGGTGATTTCCAAAACAGACGGGTGGGTAGGAAGGTCGGTTGATCGGCATGCATGCAGGTAGACTGGCAGGTAGATGTGTAGGTAGGTGGGTAGGTAGATGGACAGATGGACTGAGGAGTAAATGACTAGACTGAAAGGTGAGTAAGTAGACAGACACACAGATAGGACAGAGGTGTGCTAATGGTGTCTGCTGAATGTGATCAAATGTTATAGTCTGCCTAGGCCCTAACTGCAGGGCTCCCCCGTGAGACGGCCATACATTCTATTCCATTTTCTAGTGTTCAGCATTGAGCAGGGAACAGAAGGAAGGCTGTTGTGGGGAGATGCTTTCAGGAGTGGTCAGACAGACTCTTTTTCCATTAGCAACGGCCCTAGGGAGGACTACTAGAAACTCATGATACCTCCATTTGACAGGAAACCTTCCCAAACAAGATTACTATTATTATTGTCTTTGTATTTGCTTTAGTTTACCGAAGCTCCTCCTAGATAAAACACTGCAGTCACGGAAGTCTAACGGCCCCTAGAATCTTCAACATCGTGATCAACTGTCCCATTACCTGTTGCTTAGCAGCACTGACTCATCATCCATAATTTCCATCCCTATTCATAGTTCCACGGAAAAAAAAAAAAAAAGCACAGCCAACCCCCTCGTGGATCCCTTCCCCAAATGGCTAAGTCATTGTCAGTCCATTTGTGAACCGACTCCTATTCAAAGTTTTTGCTAGAAACAGATCCAGTGACAGCTAAAACAACTTCCAAACCCTCTCAAATGGAAGGCTCTCCTCCAAAGCTTTTACCTCATTTAGACTTGGACTTTACAAATAATTTCCATTATTTTTCTAGCAATTTTCAATTCAAGCTGACTTATTCTCCAAATAAAACTATACTCTGTCTCAATAGCAGTGTCAAAGGAGGAGAGGGGTTACTGAAAGAGCTGACTCTACTTACAAGGGAGACAAGGGCTTAGGAGAGGCCTGGGGAAGAAGAATTCTGAGATGGGAGATGGTCTGAGTGAGAAGAAATAGGAATAAATGGAAATAGGAAAGGTCTGTGACATAGCAAGGGCTGGGAAGCGATGAGGGCACATTGTTAAAGAACATTGACGTGTCTTTGGGAAATACCAGGCCAAAGAAAGCTCCTTCCACCGTGAGCCACAGCTTGTGACGTGCTGACTGTGAGCAGCAGGACTCAGTAGTGCTGGGGTAGAGAGGGTGCTAGCAAGCCTCACCCAGCACCAGGGTGATGAGCCAGCTCCCATAAGGAGACAGACCCACAGCCTAACAGCCAGGCAGATTGAGCCAATCAGCCTTTTATGTGATAGGAAGTAGACTCGGAGTCCTAGAGAGAAGGGCTTGTTTTTGTTCTACGAAGCGCTCCTTCTGGAACGAGGGTCTTCCCATCCACCGTCAGACGTGTTGTTCAGAGAATTTCCTGATGGCCGGCTCTTAGACAGACAGGGTGCGTGAGAGAGAAATGTGTCTAGGTTTTATTGCTGGCTTTGTCGAGGGAGCTTCTAGTTTCTTTGGCTGGCCTGGGAGAGGAAGAGAGACGAGAGACAGGAGGGAGCGGGAGGAGGTCAGGAACAGAGCTGGCTGAGGCTCTTTGCACAGCCTTCGGGGCCATGTGCTTTGAGGTATGGTGCCATTTTCTGGGCTCCCACAGCAGTGATGCCCGTGCTGGTGTGGTGTTCCCGGGGCCGCGGGGGCCAGTCCTTGGGGCAGCAGGGAAGGAACACGCTGTTCTCAGCAATGTGCAGAGCCTGACTGGCCGCTCAGACCTCGTCCTTACCCATTCCCCCAGGTCCCGTGAGCCACCAAGACCCATCTACTCAGCCTCCCGAGGGCTGCGGATGTCCCTGCCTCTTCCATTCTGTGACCTGCGTGATGCCCTGGCTGTGAGGTCTCAGTGATCTCTGTTGATCTGCTCTCTACATGCCTAGCACCCAGGCGCTCACTCCCCAGACGCCAGCCAGGCCTGGTCCCCTTGCATCCTAAAACCCCCTTTCTCCACAAGGGCCCCCGGAAGCTGCTCAAGAAGTTGGTGTTGAACCCCAAGATAAGGACTCAAATGTTTTTTCTTTCTTGCGATTGTTTCCAACATATTTATAAGATGATTTCTTTGTTGCTTTGTATGTCCCTTCCCCACGGTTTAACCCCTGCTTTCACTGTATTTGATGTTGGTATAATTTGTGGAGGGGAAGGGAAAAAACGAATTGTTTAAATAGGGACACAGGTGGACCCATCGCAACAATGAGATGTACAAGACGTTATGTTGAAAAATGAACTTTACAACTTTGACGGGGGTGGGGGGTGGGGGGGGGAATGGGAGGGCAGGGATAGTAAGGGGAAACAAAGGAGGAGGCAACAATGCTTGGCAAGAAATGTACTCATTACCTTGTTCATGTAATTGTAATCCCTCTGTACAGTATTTTAACAATAAAAAAATCTTATTAATTAAAAAAAAAGAAGTTGGTATCCTCAGCTTGTGACAATCCTTCCTGCCACACTTTACCATCACTCATCTTTTGGGATCTTTTTGATCTTCACTGAGGTAGAGATCCTGGCAAGTACTATATAAGTATTCAGTACTATAGAAGTACTCAATAGAGTATTATACGCAGTACTATAGAGGTACTTGGTCCTATAGAGGTACTCAGTAGTATACATATGATCAGTGCTATAGAGGTACCGGTACATACTCAATAGAGTACTATCCTCAGTACTACAGAGGTACTCATAGAGTACTATACTTATTACTATAGAGATACTCAGTACTAGAGGTACTTGGTGCTCTAGAGGTGCTTGCCACTATAGATACTCAGTACTATGAAGTTACTCAGTACTATAGAGGTACTCAGTACTACAGAGGTACTCAGTGCTATTGAGGTATTTGGTACTATAGAAGTACCCAGTACTATGGAAAGAATAGAGTACAATACATAGTACTATGGAAGTAGTCAGTACTACAGAGGTACTTAATAGAGTACTATACTCTGTACTATAGAGGTACTAGAGTACTATACTCAGTACAAGAGAAATAATCATCAGTGGCTCTTATCTCTGCGTATCTGTAAGTACTGAGAGGGCACAGGAGTATATGACATAATTCAAACAGAGAACTCAGCATGGTACCATATGTATACAAGGGCTATGTAAACTTTGACTGTAGTAATAATTAGCATTGGCTCACACTAAAGTATGTGCTCAATAAAGGGGAATGACTACACAGATGGAGAAACTAAAGAATTCACGAGTCCAGATGCCCCCAACCAGCTTTTACTCATAGCAGAATACAGCAAAGCTGTACAGAAGAGAGAAAGAGAGAGGGGGGAGGGGAGTGATACCTTTTTACAGTTTGTGGCCATCAAAATAAGCAGTACAGATTGCATTTTTTTCTTGTTTCCCCGGGACTACAAACCCATTCTACAGATGGGTAGAGGCACTAAACAAGGCAGAGAGTTAGAAGTTAGATATGCAGGGATGTGGTGTCACACATCAGAAAATCGCTCTCCATGCTTCTCAATGTCGTCTTTGTTAAGGGAAATGTGTGCTCCTTAATGAGTGCTGTACTCAGACACGATTTGCAAGCTGTATCCTGGAGAGAGCCAGGCCCGTCCATCCCAACACATGCTGGTACAAAAAAATGTCATCTGATGTGTCCCAGAGAGGGGACGCAGAACCTCTTCCTCCTGGCACTTCTCACAGCTCCCAGAGCCAGACATTGCCATGTGACTGTATCAGGCCACACGTGTCTAGAATGTGGCAGCACACACAAACATGTGTGGGCCCTGACACACCTAGCGACACCCTGTGCATTCTGGTGATCTGACAAAGTATGTTTGCTAATTATGTGGCTGTTATGTCTGTGACAATACTTCAAAACGATCTGGCAGTAGACAGCTCGTGTGGATTTAGTAGCAGACACAGCACCACCACGTGAGCGGTGGGACACCTGACCTCGGTCTCCGCCCTGCGGGGCACAGCGAGTTCTTTCTTCCCTTATCCCTCCAATTAACTTTTCCTTATTACCCTGGACTCAGCTAGTTCCATCACTGAAAGGTGTGGGAACGCACAATTGCTTTTTCTCAGCTTAGTCATCTAATTGGGGAAAATGATTAGTAAAGAGATTTGATTTAAAAAAATGGCCAACAAGCATATCAGGAAAGTGCTCATCCTTGTACATTTAAAAGCAAGGGGGAGCCGTACTGAAATCCATCAGAGACGGTTAAGAATACTGGAGATCTAAAGAAAATGTGGTATATATACACAATGGAATTCTATGCCTCCATCAGAAAGAATGACATTGCCCCATTTGTTAGGAAATGGAAAAACTTGGAAAAAATTATATTAAGTGAAGTAAGCCAGGCCCAAAGAAACGTAGGTCCCATGGTTTCCCTTATTTGTAATATCTAGTATATGTATGAGTCAAGCGGAAAAGGTCAGATAATGTGATGTCAGGAAAATGAACCCTTAGATGTGTATTTTAATGTTTTTTTCTTTCATGCGTGTGTTTCTAACACATTTATAAGATTATCTCTTTGTTGCTTTGTATGTCCCTCCCCCACAGTATAACCCCTGCTTTCACTATATTTGATGTCAGTATAACTTGTGGAGGAGATGGGGAAAAACCAGTTGTTTAAGGATACAGGTGGACCTGTTGCAACAATGAGATGTACAAGTTGTCATGTCCAAAACGAGCTTTACAACGTTGGTGCGGGGGGGTGGGGGGGTGGGGGGGGGAAGGAGAAGGATTGGGATTGGGGGGGAGGGGGGAGGCTGGGAAGGGATGTGAAGGGTAAACAAAGGAGGAGGCTGCAATGCTTGGTAAGAAATGTACGCATTATCCTGCCCATGTAACTGTAACTCCTCTGTACAGTATGTTCACAAATAAAATAAAATTAAATTAAAAAAAAAAAAAAGAATACTGGAGATCTAGTCAACTGACCTGTTTTGTTGTGCAGCAGGCTGGATCTGTACCTGGAAGAGCTGAAGTCTGGGGCCTGGGTGGGAGCCAAGGACTGCAGCGTTTTCTGTCCTTCCTCCGCGCTCCCAGGTGGGAAGGCTGGGCTGTGGGGGAGTCTTGCTTCTCCTCTGTCCACGTTACCTAACTGGAGAGCATCTTGAGCCTTCTTCTTTTCCTTTTTGAGCATGTTGACCAGAATATCTGAAATCTGACTTAAGGATTTAGTAACTTAGGCTACATAATCAGGACCAAAGCACAACTGTTCTGGATGTGAGTAATTTTACCCATCACTTACGCACCTTCCTCTGTGGTAAAGTGGAGGATTGAAATGTCCTGAAGTCCTAGAGTCACTGGGGAATCATGAGAAGGATTTTATTCTATCATTATGGCACCATTATGTGAGAAAACTAGCCAACTAACAGGTCTTTAAAATATTCTGAGGTTTAACTTGTGTGTGTGTGTGTGTGTGTGTGTGTGTGTGTGTGTGTGTGTGTGTGTGTGTGTGTGTGTGTGTGTGTGTGTGTGTGTGTGTACATGCCTGTCTCAGGGCTTGAAGTCAGGGCCTGGTGATGTCCCTGAGAGTCTGTGTTCAAGGCTAAACTCTACCACATGAGCCATAGCTCCACTTTCAGATTTTTTGGGGGTAGTTGACTGGAGATAAGAGTCCACAGGCTTGCCAGGCACTGATGGCTCATGCCTGTAACCCTAGCTACTCAGGAGGCTGAGATCTGAGGATCACGGCAGCCCGGGCAAGAAAGTCCGAGAAACTCTTATCTCCAATAAACCACCACTCAAAAACTGGGAGTGGCGCTGTGGCTCAAGTGGTAGAGCGCTAGCCTTGAGCTGAAGAGCTGAGGGACAGCGCCCAGGCCCAGAGTTCAAGCCCCACAACCGACCCCCCCCCCCCCAAAAAAAAATAAAGAGTCCACAGGCTTTCCTGCCCGGGCTGGCTTCAAACTGTGATCTTCAGATCTCAGCCTCTTGAGTAGCTAGGATGACAGAGGTGAAGCTGCCAGTGCTTGGCAGGTTAAACATTTTTATAAAAGGGCTAAGAAAATACAATAACATGAACACGAAGCAGCAGTACACTGGAGCTCTGTCTTTACCTGTAAGTCTTTTATCTGAGAAGATCCGATCTTGCCTAATTACACCACTGTCCAGGAGGTGGGGGGAGGGGGTGACGGGGGGGGGGGAGGGGAGAAGGGGAGGTAGTTAAACCTGCCCAGGGGCACAGAGACCACATTAGTCCTGGGGACCACAGCACGGGCAGCACAGCCTTGTGCCCTGCACTGCTTACATGGCACACTCGGATGAGGGGTGAGATTTATTTTGTTTAAGATTCTACTATTTGGTCTCATCTAGACCAGAACAGAAGTCAATTACTAGCACAGGCACCTTCGGCCGATGGTGTTGATAGGCCAGGAACACGGATGATGGATGGTAAAACCAAACTAGTCTACCCCACCTTGAGTCATAAGGGGTTTCTGCCCTGTGGGATGGAAGGCAGGCTATCAATTCTTCCTAGAACCTCAGAACTCTTGACTGCGTATGTAGTAAGGTGAATTCAAGGTCTTCACCCTCCTTAGAAATGGCTTTGTGCAAACAGGAGTCCTAGGAAGTGTGGGGCTGGCGAGGGAGACAAGATGGCTGCCTGGGAAGGCAGGCGGGAGGGAAGGCAGGCAGATCACACCTGTTCTTGAGCAGATAACACAGGAATAACTGGGCAGAGCAGAAAGAGTCATCGGTAGGGAAGGTGGGAGCCTTCATGAACTGAAGCAAGGACTTAGGATTTTTTTTTGGTCAGTCCTAGGGCTTGAACTTAGGGCCTTGGTATAGTTCCTGAGCCTTGCTGTGCTCAAGGATAGCACTCTACTACTTGAGCCACAGTGCCACTTCTGCACTGTTTCTGAGTAGCTTGTTGGAGATCAGAGTCTCAAGGACTTTCCTGCCCTGAGTGGTCTTCAAAGTGTGATCCTCAGATCTCAGCCTCCTGAGCAGTGAGGATTACAGGCATGAGCCACTGGCACTGGGCTTTCGGATCTTATTGCAAGTGCAATGTGAAGACATGTCAAGATGAATCAGAGAAATGGCGTGTGTGGAGTCATAGTTCGTAAGGAGCACAAATCTGTCTTTGCTGCCTTTCTTCTTGTCTGTCTTCTCTCTTCTTCCCCTCCCATCCTCACTTAACGCAGGCCTTCCTGCCGTGCTCCGTGCTGTGTGTAGAATCACCGCTACATACTTCGTGAAGGTGTCTCTGAGTTTCATTCGGATGACTTTGGTTTCCAGTGTTTCCTTTGGGTTGCATTGCTGTCTTTCGTCAAGATCAAGTAGACTCATCTTCCTCTTCTCCTTCCCTCTGTGACAGTCTCGGCCTTCCAGGTTTTACAAAGGAAGATGGGAACACTGAGTAGTTGGAACTTGTCAGGGGCCGCTCTCAGTCACTGGTGACGATTCCACCGTAGCAGCAATCCTTCCTTCTCGGGAGTTCCCTTGTCTACACTGTGGTGCTCAGGCGCTGGCTCTGCTCAGCGCAGGGGTGTGGCAGGCCGGGTCTCAGGGGAGCAGACAGCCTTCCCGAGTGGCTGCAACAGCGAGGATCTCAATCTAAGTACTGATTCAGGCTCAGTCGCTCTCCCACTCTGACTCTCGGTACACCGCCATCTGCACCGTGACTCTCAGACGCAGGGAACTTTACTTGAATTATCCAGTCCATAAATGGCGAGACCCAGCTTCACCCTAGTGAAGACAGGGGAGGGTGCGTGTCTCTGTCTCACTCTCATTTTTAAACACATATCTATGACCAAGCTGGGGTTGGTCACATCTCACTCGGTCCCACCTCTGTGCACATTAACAAGCCGTGAGAGAGATCAAGATGTTGGTAGGAGGATTTAGGGAAGAAGACACTAGACTAGGATCAGGGCCGGGAAAAAAGAAGCAGAGTCCAGCCTGGGTCCAGGGCCAGGCCGGAGGTCCAGGCGGGGGCCATCCCTGCGGATGGATGGGGTAGGAGAGAGGAAAAGGAATGTGGGGCGACAGCACTCATGGGCAGCTGTCATGGATGAGGACTGGTACGTGGGTGTGACTCCAACTGAACCTCACGTTCCTGGCTGGACAACAAAGCAGCAGAGACCTGCGTGGAATCTGATGCCCAGGATCTGCTAGTGTTCAACTCAAACCAGAGACTGGAGTCCATCAGGTGGCTCGTGGAGTTTGTACTTGGTTTGTTTTTACCTCTTTAGTATGGGATCTCCATTGTGGAGACTATTTTTATACACGTTGTATATCAGTTGAGTGAAAGCATCTTTTTTTTTTTTTTTTTTGGTCGGTTGTGGGGCTTGAACTTAGGGCTTGGGCGCGGTCCCTGAGCCTCTTTGTGCTCAAGGCGAGCATTTTACCACTTGAGCCACAGCGCCACTTCTGGTTTTTGAGTGGTTAATTGGAGATTCAGAGTCCCACCAGGACTTTCCTACCCAGGCTGGCTTCAAAACACACACTCCCCAGATCTCAGCCCCCTGAGTAGCTAGGATTACAGGCATGAGCCACTGGCACTTGGCAAGCTAAAGTATCTTTTAATATATTTTTTTTTAATGACCAAAAAATCTGCTTATAAGAAATTAACCAAAATTGTGTGTATGTGTGTTTAAATGCTACCAGTGTCATGAATATGTTAAACCTTTAATAAGAACCTTTTATAATGGGATACAGACCTAAAGAAGTGTGCGGAGACTTGAGGTCTACCCAGGCCCAGGAGGCTTTTTCAGATGGGCCCGACTTTTCTGCAGCTGGAGCTACACCCGCTCCATATGCGGCCTCCACTTTTAGCACCCAAAATACACAGTCTTTTGGAGCCAAGAAGAATTCTGTCTTGAACACTTATCTAGGTTCACATCCAAATCTGGGAACATTTGTAAGTGGAACCCATAGAAGACTGGCACTGGCTTTTAAATTAAAAAAAAAAAAGTCACATTTAAATCAATCTCGGCTCTTTGTAAGCTAAATACCATTCACCCCTTTTTTTTTTTTTTCAGGCTACCCTTGGAGTTTTTCACCCACACACCAGCCACACATTCTGGGCTGTGGTTAGCCTAGTATCCGGTCAGCTAGCTAAAGATAACCTGGTAACTTATTGCCTCGTGACCGAAGCAGAGAAAGCCCCGTGGAGGAGTCAATTTTCTTTGTTGCTTTGTACGTCCCTCCCCCATGGTATAACCCATGTTTGCCACTGTATTTGGTGTTGGTATAATCTGGGGAGGGGAAGGGAAAAAAACCAAATTGTTTAAATAGGGATACAGATTGACCCATTGCAACAATGAGATGTACAAGATGCTATGTCGAAAAATGAACTTTACAATTTAGGCGGGGGTGGGGGGTGGGGTAGTGTAGTTGAGGAGGTGGGAGGGAAGGGATGGGAGGGGGAAAACATAGGAGGAGGCAACAATGCTGAATAAGAAATGTACTCATTACCTTGCTCATGTAACTGTAACCCCTTTGTACAGTATTCTCACAATAAAAACTTAATTAAAATAAAAATTTATATATTGCAACCTCCCCCACAAAAAAAAAAATATGTAATGCTAAGAGCTGGTGTGAAACAGTTCATGAACTAGAAAGTTCATGAGCTAGAAAGTTCTCCGTGAGAGTAAAATACGGTACCAGGCTAAAAATCAAGTGAAGCCACTCTGGGTTCTGCTGTAGGCATGCTTTGCTTTGCTGGCTGATGGGTGTGTTATCCTCCCTGGAAGGGGGCTGTGTGAATGGGAAGCAGGGAGGGGATGCTGCGGGGAGGGGGTGACATCTATGGGTTCCCAGCAGGATGGGGGAGAGTTCCTCCTAGCTTCAGAAAAGGATACTGATTTCGTTATCCCTCTGTTTGAGAATGTCCTGTAGCCTTTTATATTCCTCCTCTCTCGGCGATTCCTGGCAGTTCTGGGTTTTGATTTCTGAGACTGTACTCTTCTCTGGGGTCTTGCTGTCCTTCAGTAGTTTCTGTAGGTGAGAGAAGAGGTGAGTGGCCATTCCTGGCTTCCA